TCGTCGATTCCCACATGTACCAGTAAGCTGCACCCTCTACAGCTAAGATGGTGAACAACAGCTCGACCTGGAGCTGGGCTGCCGTGAGCCGCCNATGACAGTGATAGAGTAGCAACGAAAATAATTTTATGGTTGGGGGTCACCACAACATGAGGAACTGAATTAAGGGGTCGCGGCGTTAGGAAGGTTGAGAACCGCTGCAATAGACCATATAATGTCCCCTCCCAACTAGAGCATAAGCTCCTTGAAGGGAGGATTTTCGTCTGTGTTCCCATGACCTTGAATAATGAAAACTTGGTGGCTGAAGAACAGAACTCAGGGCCTCTGTTCCCGGTGGCCAGAATGAGCTGGGGCTGAGGGCTGCTACCCACTCACCCAGTTTTTGTTTCACTGCTTCATTATCTGGGTTTTATTGGAAACCACAGAAAAGTGTTGTTGGAGAGTAGGCTGGATTTGTGCCAGAGAGCTTGACCTGTGTGTGACTCAGTAGTGCACCTTTGTGTCCCAGCTCATCTTGAGGACAATATGAGCTCACATTCCTGATGGTGTGCAGTGCAGGAAGAATGAATGCTCAGGAGCTTTTATCATCACTTCAGCATTCCCCCACGTGACTAGCCTGATGCTAATCCCAGAGAGAAGAGCTTCCCTTCCTCCTCTCAACGTTTGAGCAGAGCCATCATTTGCAAGTACTCAGAACATTCCTCAAGTATTCTTCTTATGTGCAACATTCAGAGATGAGCAATCCTCCCACAGGCCAATTCCTAAATAAACTCGTGGGATAAATGGCATGGTGGAAGGAACTCAGGGCTGAAGAGAAAGGGTGGTGGAGTGCGCTTCGCATGAGGCGAGGCAGCAGGAGAGGGGTCAGAACACAGCAGAACACTGAAATCTGATGGGCTTATTGAGGTTCAAATCCTGGCTCAGATTCCCACAAGGTATGTGTCCTTAGATAAGTCACCTAACCTCTCTGAGCATCAGTTTCCTCAGTAATAACAAGGGCTAAAATAACACATCTCCTGAGACTGCTATGAAGAGTGAATGGATGGGAGGAAGCACTTCTAGGATAGTGAAGCAAGTATCTCTGAAAACCATTCCTCCATGAAAACAGAGAACAAGGACAAAAATGATCAAAATCAACTTTTTCAGAACTATGGAAATTAACTAAAATCTTGCAGCAATCTGTGAACCATGTTCCAAGTAAAACAGCTAAATCTCAATAAAAACAGTGAGTTTGTGACATTTTAATTTGCCCTAATCTCATCACTCTCTTCAAGGTCTGTGGTAGCCTGGAAAACCAGCAGCCTCGCAACTGTGGTAGGTGTGAAAACCAGCAGCCTAGCAGCCCCTGGAAGGGGTATAATGGGCTTGGAGTTTCCCAAAAACCCCATCCCCACAGAATGGTCACTAGTTGACCTGTCTGGCAGTTTGCTGAAAAACTCCACTCTCAAAAGGTGTCTTTATTTGGGCCGGCCGAGTGGCGCGATGGTTGAGAACTGGCTTGGGATGCTAGAGGGCCCCAGTTCGGATCCCACATATGAGGGCCGGTGACACTGCCCTCTACAGCTGAGATGCTGAACAACAGCTCAACCTGGAGCTGGGCTGCTGTGAGTCGCCGGCGACGGCGTAGGCTGCAGCCACTGCTGCAGTGGGTTGCCATGGGCTACCATGTGTAGCCGGCGGCCAGCGTGAGCGGCCAGCAGTCGCAGTGAGTGGCCGTCCAGGGGCCAGTGACTAATCTGCCTCGCCTGGGAAGAGCGCAATGATGGTGCCAACTTGGGCCA